GCCATCACATTAGGAGTGAGTTAATTAAATGTTTGACCAAATATAGCAAGCTTATTTTTAAATTGATAGTTTTCTATAGCCCACAAATGATGTTATAAATATCCAAGTGACCCTTGGCATTAAGAGCTTCTCCACCCCTACTCTAGGAGCTCTCATCACTAAGTTCCTGCCTTGGGTTTATTTTTATATTTTTATAAGTCTCTCATTTCTGATGTTTCTTTGGATGCCCTGGATAGGTATTCCATGAAAATAGGCTGGCTTGCCTTCTGTGCAGAAAATGAGGACTTTTTTAGGTGAATTAACCAGCATGTAAACAGTCTTTTATTGTCTTTTTCCTTTATAGCAACTCAGAATCTTCTGAAAAGAGATTTAGAATGAACAGCTTTGTATCAGACTTTGGAAGGCCCCTGGAACCAGAAAAGTTGTTTTCTCGCCAGGGCAACGAGGAATCCAGGTCTCTCTTTCATTGCTACATCAATGAGGTGGACCACTTAGACAGGCCCAAAATTTGTCACCAGACTACAGCCCTCGACAGCGATGTTCAATTCCAAGAAGCACTCCGAAGCAGCAGCAGGCCAGAGGAGGAACTCAATAGGCTCATGAAGTTTGACATTCCCAACTTCGTGAATACGGACCAGAATTCCTCCTTTGGGGAGGATGATCTTCTGATTTCGGACCCACCCATTGTTTTAGAAAATAAGCCAGTTTGTCAGACTTCACACAAAGAACTGAACTGAGAAGCATATTTTATGTTTTGTAAAGGCCATCCTGGAGGTGTGGATTCTGTCTTTAATATAGTAAGAAATCTTCATTTACCAAAATTGTGTGTGAGTATGTATGTGTGTGTGAGAGAGAGAAAAGAACAAAGAACTTACTAAGCAGAGTAAATAGGCGATTTGTATGTATTCAAATACACTTGGAACTTCTTTGGATTAAAGTATTTACACTGTGTTATTTTCCTTGTTGAATAACTTGACTAAATAATGTGTTAGCCTTCTGGAATGGGGAGCAGGATACTGCTTTCTTATTTAACCCTGCCACTGTGATGTTCTGTGTTCTTAAACAACTTGTTTCACCTCTGGACTGCCACATATCTTGCTGTAAGGTGAGGGCACTGCAGTAGCCTTCCCAGCGCTGATATTTGGTGAATTTCTGACTTTGCATCCAGATGAGACTGGGATGCACATGAAGCAGCATGAACCAAGCCATTGCCTCTTATCCCTTCTGTGTTGGTGGTGGTGATGGTATGCCATGGAGTCAGTTCAGAGTCATAGCAAGCCGGGACAAGGTTCCCAAGGCTGTAAATGTTTATGGGAGTAGAAAGCCTCATATTTCTCCCTCACGATAGCTAATTGTTTTGAATCGCTGAACTTGTAATTAGTAGCCCAACTTGTAACCCACTATACTACTTCTCTTTTGTAGGATCCCCAAAATGTCTATACCTTTCATTCAATAATTTACTGAGTCCAACTTTAGTCTAGGGACCTAAAGGGTCTACTTGCTGGTCAGGAGATTTGTCTCACACAGTCATTACTGGCCAGCATTTTTGCTTGGTTGTGTTGAAACAGCTCCATCTCCCTCAGAATGAGCTCAGATCCATGGTACATTGCCTGACCTGACATTCCTATCCCCTAGAACTGTAGAAAAGATTGCCAACTGAGTAAGGAGAGGTAAGGAGAAGTACTGTCCTGTTTGCCTCTGTGTTGATGTATCTGCATCTGGTCACACTGCAGTGCAGTGTCCTTGACTACAGAATGAGAAAAGTCCTGCATGCAAGACTGTTTATTTACTACAGACGGCTAGTGTGTGAGCTTTGAGCTAAGAAAGTGAGTGTGTTGGAAATCCACCACAAACAAATATTCAGGGTGGCCTGGATAATGAAGACACCAAATCTGCACACTGGTTTTGGGAATAACCTGGTTTTGCACACACCCTCAGATGCATGCATGACCAGCTACTAATTTGTGGGTTTCATAATTAAGTTATTTACCACATGTCTTGCTTTTGCTGTAAAATAAATGCATTGATTGCACAGCAATTTTCTCCGGTTCTTTCTTTTTACAGCCTAGTTTCCCAATTTCTTTTAAAAGCTCATTTATACTTCCTTCAAATTTCTTAATGGGAACTGATGATACTATTATCTTAGGACTCCTAGTCATGCCCTAGACTTGCTTTAGGAATTAATCAAACCAACTGAAATACCTTTCCCATAATACTGTTCTTTGAGAAAAATATTTACGGCTCTGACACTAAATAGCAGAACAAAGCACAGAATATTGCTTAATGATTAAATCTGCTTTAACATAGTCTTACAAACAGATATTTTACAAATGGATGTATTTTCCTGAATATTTTCTACAACACAATAAAAGTAGTAAAGAATGATTATTTTGTTTTCTACTATGATGATTATTATTATCCATAAACTATTTAACCAAATATAAATCATGAGCAGTTTTTAATGTTGAAATCTATCCAAGTGATATCTTATTTGAAGCAAATTTATTAGTCAGAAAATTGAAGCATATTTCAGGATCAGCACTGGACTGTGAAGCATAAGGTCAGCAGTTCAGACATACCAGCTGCTCCTTGGAAACCCTATACAGGTTCGCTATGAGTCAGAACCAACTCAATGGTACTTAGCAATAACAACAGTCCATGAGTTTTATTTACTAAAATAAGAACTGAGGGTCCTGACATTCTACTGTACTTGGAACCCAATAAGTTATCCCGCCAGTTTCATTATGCTGCCAGAAGACAAGACTTCTGAGTGCCAGACGGGGTACTTCATTACTCAGCACAGCGGACAGCAGGAGCAACCTGTGCCAGTTGGTTCATGTGTTATTTTCCTATTGTTGTCTTCATATGCATGCAGAAGCTGGACAGTGAATAAGGAAGGAAGACTGAAGTAGAATTGGTGCCTCTGAATTACAGTGCTGACCAAAAATAGTCAATATATTATGAACTGCCTAAGAAGGAACCAATCTGTCTTGTAAGAAGCACAGCCAGAATATTCCTTAGAAGTGAAGATGTCGAGACTTCCTCACATACTTTGGACATATTATCAGGAAAAACTGTCCCTGGAGTAGATCATCATGTGTGGCCAAGTAGAGGGTCAGTGAAAAAGGAGAACACCCCCCAAAGAGAGGGATGGGCACATTGACTGTCACAATGGGTTCCAACATAGCAATGACTGTGAGGATGAACTAGGGCAGGGCAGTGTTCCATTCTGATGAACATAGGTCACTGTGAGTTGGAACCTATTCGGTTATCGTTTAATAACATTGCTATTGAACACATATAAACAAAATTATTTGCTTACAGTTCTGGGGTTCAGAAAACTCTGATCAAAACTCATTGTCAATGGACTAAAAATCAAAGTTTTGTCAGAGCTACATTCTTTTCATTCCTTTTAGAGCCGCCATGTAAGAATCTACTTTCTTTTTCCAGCTTCTAGACATTGCTATGAATGTATGAAGTGTGAATCTAGGAAAACTGGAAGTTAAAAATGAAATATAATGCATAAACATCAATATCACAGGTATTAGTGAACTGAAATGAACTGGTATTAGTCATTTTGAATCTGACAATCACATGGTTTACTATGCCAGGAATGACAAATTGAAGAATGGCATCACATTAATCATTGAACAGAACATTTGAAGATCTATCTTTAAGTACAACACTGTCTGTGAAAGGATAATGTCCATATGCCTACAATGAAGACCATTCAATACAGCTATTATTCAAATTTACACACCAACCCTAAAGCCAGTTATGATGAAATTGAAGAATTTACCAACTTCTTCAGTCTGAAACGGATCCAACATGCAATCAGGATGTATCAATAATTACTGATTGGAATGCAAAGGTTGGAAACAAAGAAAAAGGATCAATCATTGGAAATATGGTGTTGGTGATAGAAGTGATGCTGGAGATTGCATGATAGAATTTTGCAAGACCAGTGACTTTTTTTCATTGCAGATGGAATACACAGAAATCAAATTGACTACATCTTTGGAAAGAGAAAATGGAAAAATGAAAGCCAGACTGGAATGAACCATCAATTAGTCATATGCAAGTTCAGGAAAATTAAAACTAGTCCTCGAGAGCCAAAATATGACCTTGAACATACCCCACCTGAATTTAGAGATCATCTCATTAAGAAGACAATAAAGAAGAAAAGGACCAAAATGGGTGTCAGAAGAAACTCTGAAACGTGCTTTCCAGCATAGAGATGCCATGGCAAATGGAAGAAATGAGGAGGTAAATGAACTGAACAGAAAATTTCAAACAGCAGCTCAAGAAGACAAAGTCAACTACTATAATGCAATGTGCAAAGATCTGGAGCTAGAAAACCTGAAGGAAAGAACACACTCATTTCAAAGAATGGGTATTCCAAAACAGTGAACTGCACTCATGAGGAAACTGTACAAAGTCCATGAAGCAGTTGTTTGAACAGAACAAAGGGGATACAGAATGTTTTAAAATCAGGGAAGATGTGCCCCAGTACTTATACAGTCAATGTTGATGTTGTTGTTGTTGTTAAGTGCTGTCAAGTCAGTTCCAACCCATAATGACCCTGTATAGGGTTTCCAAGGAGCATCTGGTGAGCTTGACTGCCAACCTTGCAGTTCAAACCAACTTTTGCAGTTCAGCGCATTAACCGACAGTGCCACATGATTCAATACACTGAGCAAATAATTTGACAAATTGAATTATATGAAGAAGGTGGTGGCATTAATACTGCAGGAGGACTCATTAGCTACCTGTGATATCCAAATGACACAATCTTGCTATCTGAAAGCCAAAAGAACTTGGGGAACTTACTGATGAAGCTCTAAGATTATAGCTTTCAGATTGCACCTCAAAATAAAGAAAACAAAAATGCAACTAAATGAATAAATAACATGATTGTTGTTGTTAAGAACCGCGGAGTTGATTCTGACTCATAGTGACCCTGCATAGTGTTTCCGAGGCTGCAAATCTTTACAGGAGCAGAAAGCCTCATCTTTCTCTCGTAGAACAGCTGGTAGTTTTGAACTGCTGACCTTGAGGTTAGCATTCTGATTCATAACCACGACACTACCAGAGCTCCTTAATATGATAGATGGAGAGAAAAAAACCACACACACACAACAGCAAAGTTTCTTCTGAATCCACCTTCAATCCTGGCAAATCTTCAATATTGTTGCAACTGTTTTTAAAGTTAACTTCAGCAAAAGTTTACTTGCATTCTATTACTGAAATTAAGAAGTACAGCCAGGATGTTCCTGCAGTGAATTACTTCCTATGACTCTTCTATCCATAGTCTTTGTAACTCCCACCAACAGTGTTTTTGCCCTGCTAGGTAGGAGGGTGGGGAAGATGCGGATAGAAAATAGGATTCAGTTGTGAGTGGTTAACGGCGTTTGATGCAAAAACTTGGAACTCTAATCAGGGTATATAATGAGTTATCTCAGCAGCAAGAAGCCTCAAAAGAAGATGTAAAAATACAGAGTTCTGAGCAAAAAAATTGGTTGATGCGCAACCATTTCAAGAGTTAGTATATTAAGAACCCATGTTATTGAAAGAAGTCCAAGCTGCATGACGGCATTGATAGAAAGTAAGTCTCCAAGAATTGACAGAATACAAATGGAAGTGTTTCAATAGATGGATGTAGCACTGGTAGTCCTCACTCATCTTTGTCAAGAAATCTGGAAGACAAGCTACCTGGCCAAATGATTGGAAGAGATTC